CTGAGAAGGTGAAACAACCATGTTCCATACCATGGATCTTCTCCATCTCTCTCCCTCCCTCTCTCTCTCTCTCTCTCTCTCTCTCTCTCTCTCTCTCTCTCTCTCTCTCTCTCTCTCTCTCTCTCTCTCTCTCTCTCTCTCTCTAAGATTTACTCTCGTGTCTGAGGTGGGTGTTGCTCCAGGGTTGTGACAGTAGAGGAAACACCTAGCCAAGAACGCTGGGCTCAGTGCCCACCTCCAAACACAAGAGTTTATGGTCGGAATCATCAGCCTGGGCTTTTCCCTCACATTCTCCCTATCATTAAAAAGCTTTATTGTCTCTGACCCAGCTAGCTTCACATTTTCCATTCACATCCAAATGCCGACATAATTATGCTAATAATTCATTAAGGTCGACTCGACATGCACTGCTCGAACCCAGGAAGATCAGGCAACTCTGTAACGACCCAGCTGTTCATTTTATTTAATTCCTTAAAGGGAAACTTACAATTATATAGTGACAGAGTAATTATGATCTCATTATTTATTAGAGGTGAAGACTTTGTTCATTTCTGAACTCTCTGACGTCAATAGTGCCTTTGTGTCAATTTGGTTGGAAAACATCTGCAAAGAACATCTCGATATAGATCTATCTATCTATCTATCTATCTATCTATCTATCTATCTATCTATCTATCTATCTATCTATCTATCTATCTATCTATCTATCTATCTATCTATCTATCTGTCTGTCTGTCTGTCTGTCTGTCTGTCTGTCTGTCTGTCTGTCTGTCTGTCTGTCTGTCTGTCTGTCTGTCTGTCTGTCTGTCTGTCTGTCTGTCTGTCTGTCTGTCTGTCTGTCTGTCTGTCTGTCTGTCTGTCTGTCTGTCTGTCTTTTTTTCCACATTGTAAGAATAGTCTATTGTATGTAAAAGAGTGAAGAATAGTGAGAATCAACATCTGTATTTATCTTTGAAATCATATGCAATAAGTGGAGAAAAAAAAAGAAAATAAGCCAGAAACTGGACTGAACCTGCAACCTTTATGTGCTTTCAGATGCATACACTTATTGTATACTGCACCAGGCTTTCCTGTTCCTCCTTGCTTGATTTTTTTTAGGTGTACTGCTTTCCTTTAAGGTCATAATTAACAAATGTTCCCAATTAAAGTTGCCTTTGTTGTTTGGCAACATTAGAAAGGTAATCTCCAAATTACACTGCAATTTGCCTAATATTTCATGATTAGCTAATGATGGGTAGCTTGCAGATGTGGACTGCAGTAAAACTGCATGTCATCTGTTTTGTTCTGTTCAGCTGACCTGTGTCGCACCAGTTGAAACATATTATAAATGGGGCTTTCGTTTGAAAAAAGATTCAGATTCATTGTATGGATGGACATACTGATTTTATTTTAGCCCCCAGATTAAAATAATTACAATACGTTATTGTGGCAGATGATACATATTAGTTGAATAGACATTACAAGTGGTTTTAGGAGTGCGTGAGTGTGTGTGTGAGTAGTGTAGTGTAGTGTAGTGTCATGTTAAAAGTGATGATTATACCATAAAAAAAACGGTACTGAAATATGACACTTGTAAACTATTTTTAGATGATCCTAATTTGGGGCCACACTTGGATCACTCATAGATGAAAGTAACAAGTCATGCCATAATGAGTAATGGTCAGAATGTAATGAGCAGATGAAGTGACCTGTCATAGATACATTACTAATGAGTGTAATTTGCAGTTGTAGTTAATGTCATCATGGAGGGGCATTAAACCACCTGTCCCTGCAGCTGTTGGTTTCTACTCCAGCAACGAGCGTGTGCGCGCGCGCGTGTGTGTGTGTGTGTGTGTGTGTGTGTGTGTGTGTGTGTGTGTGTGTGTGTGTGTGTGTGCACGCACTGTGTCACACAAGACAGTTCATTGGCACTAACAGGTGTGTGTGTATATCAGCAGCTCATTAAAGTGGCATGTTTTCTAACACCAGGCATATTTAACATTAAATTAACACCCAGTTAACGTAATAGCACCTCTGTGTTCACACTTTGACGCTTGTCTATCTCTTTCTCCACCCTTTCACTCTCTAGCTGTGAGATTTGTATATTTATTTCACACCACCACTAGAGGTCTGGTAAAAAAAAACTTAAAAAAAAAAAAACTAGGGAGCTTCCTCACTGCCTAGTACACAGTAGCCTACTGCCATCATGGAGCATCTAACCTTAAGTGACCGATTTGGAACACTACACAGGCAGCAATATTTTTTTTTTTTTTTTTTTTTTTTTTTGATGTTAGCATGTTGTTACGATTCAGATTCAAATGTTTTTTGGGTTTTTTTGGCATGGTGTCTTTACATTGCCAAAGCATTGGTAACATTGAATAACTAGTTAAATGTATATCATTAAATAATTATTAAATATTTAAATTATTAAATCAAGTGTGTAATTATGCTGAACATACATATTTTTTAATTATGATTTTTATATATTATATGTTTATTGGTAATTTTTAATTTACTGTAATTTAATTAATTTTCATATAATATTTAATTTATTAAAATTTTTACTGAGCTTGTCACTATGTATTCCATGATTCCCTTCTCCGAGACAGACCTACTTTTTGGAACAGGCATCGTCAATAGTCCCATGATGCCATAAAATGCTGCCTCCATAGGATGTTCACTCAAAACAGAGCAGTATAGTATTTATTTATTTTTAATTGTGTAATATTTTGGAATGATCACACCTTTCTGTTTATGGCGTTAATGGAACTAGGTGGAATGAGATGTTCACAAAAAAGGCCCCTCTCCCCACACTGTAGTTCCAGCAGAGACTGCCCACCTCCGATGTGAGCCCAGTCAGCAGGAAGTGTGTGTGATCCATTACCACAGTTCTACTTTACATAGGGATCCACTCATGCACAGACGCAAATGCACACACAGTGTAAGCACGTGTTTGCTTTGGTAGACATTGTTGACATAAGTCTTTGTCTTCAAGGTTGTAAGAGTGAATGTGCACTGTTTAGTTTACTCAAGCTTATGCTGTCTGTCAGTCAGACCGAAATGCTTTTTAAAGCAAGTCAGTCAGTTTACTCAGTAGCCAAATGATTTTCTGGTCATGTAAGTACAGCTTTTATCTAAAAACATGACTAACTAAATAATTTCATAGATCTAGCTAAGCTCAAACCAGGCTAAAGAAAAATGTTCAGGTTGGTCAAGCTTATTTTGAGACAATACAGCAGTATTTACCAACTGATTACAATAAACAAAAATGTTAAACAACTTAGATACATTTTCAGGGATGCAAACTACTGATCTTTTCGATTGTTATGCCATTTCTTATTATTATCAATGTTGACAGTTCTACTGCTTCATATTTTTTGTGGAAATTTAAGCTAATACATTTTCATTTAATTGCTATTAACATGCAATTAAAAGTCCATAAACATTACATTCAGTTCACACTTAAGTATATTCTTTTGAAGTATATTATTTCCATAATAAGTTCTAAATGTTTTTAGCAAAGTATGCTAAAGTACTTCTTTGTCACAGGAGTAGTCATGCAAGTACAACCCGTATCAATTTAAATAGAGACAAGCTGAAAAACAACAGTTTGCAGAACTGTTTGCTAAACCATTGAGAAAATTTCAATCTGCTAGTCATACTAATACGTTCTAAACAGAGAAAGGACTAGATCAGGTGATGCCTTTACAAATAAGCTGATTCCCATTTTTAATCGAAAGCTAAAAGCTATTTTCCTGCAGCCACCATGAATTGGGATACATTTTTTTAATCATTTATTTAGCCTAGTCTGTATCTTTTATACTGTCTCTGATTAAGCACACGCACAGAAGGGAGAAAAATGAACTAATGGCGTACATTCCTGGAGCACCTTGCACCTCTGTTCGGACTCCTGTACTGCCCCAGTCCATTGTTTATTGTGTTCTGTTGTAAAATGTCTGACTCAAAGGGGGCCATTGTAAGACAAGCATCACTAACTCTGAACCTGTCAACACTTGCCCATATTGTGCTGCTACACTATAATAAAATGTTCTTTGTACAGTAACAAGTCTGTAATCTTCATATATTAGAGGCAGGTTTACCTGCACGCTCCTGAACACACACAGAGCGCTAATAGCAACATGGACGTCTCTTTAATTTCACATTGTTGTTGTATGTTTTATCATTGCTCTCACAAAAGTGAACACTGAACTGATACTGAACCGGATTTATAAAAAATGGCTAGCAATGTCTAGAATTGTTTCAAATGTTTTGTCAGTTAACCTAAAAACTGTATTTCATGTCTTAAAATCTAAATGAAATAATGGGTAATGTTCATTTTGACAGAATAAACCCACAGAGTGAACAGGAAAAATGTACGCATGAAGGGTCTTGACTTGTATCATCCTGAAGGGATTATTTTGCAATAATGACTGGCTCACTGTACATTATCCCACTTATTACATGGCTACTTGCTAAATAAATAAATAAATGGGCAAGAAAAATGTATTAAGTGAGAAGAAAAAGAGCTGTCTGTGTAGGAAGATTTGCAGACAGTGTCAAATATGCAGTTTAACAGCCGTGATACAACAATATCTGACCACACAATGCCGCAATTGATCATGAGCCATGCAATAACTGGTTATAATGCAATAACTGGTTGAACCATGAGCCAGGCAATAACTGGTTATAATCCAATCAATGTAATTCAATATGACTGAATCAGTCTGCCCGAGTTATATAGATGAAGGTTATTCATTTATTTATTTAATCCTGGTGTGTGTGTGTATATGTTTCCAGTTATTCTTTTTATCAGTATACTTACATATGTACTTTATAGTAGATGTATATGAGCCAGACACTGGACCTTTTCCATTGACCATGAAGTATCAGTTTAAATACCATGGTACATGAATACGGTACCTTGTATGAAGTACCATGTATCTGTTACCTTTACTGTACCATGATACCACAGTCTGAAATGTGCCTCTCCTTGACTTTCTCTCTTTGCTTTGTATCTACAGGGGCAGAGATTCCCTCAGACCCAAACGTGGTGGCCGCCTCCAGTTGGAACATGTCCAGCGGAGCTGAAAGAGGTGAGTTTTAGCCCAGCTCTGATAGGCCACTCAGGGACACCATTAGGTCTACAGTAATGTGACAGATCGGCAGCGATTGCTGGATGTTTTGTCTAGAGATGAATGTTAGTCTTGATTGCCAAAGCAGACAGCATTACTAGCAGGAACATGTGAGCTCTAGGATGACAGCATTTTGAAAGAAGCTAGTTATGTGTCTTAAGTTATCCTAATTCCTCAGTCTGGTACAGTGTGCACTAATTTGGGGGTTTCCGTGCTCAGGGTAAACCTAGATCTGTTGTGTCTGTGCTATCGTTATTGATGCAAGTTGGAACAAAATTCAGGAGAATTCATGCAAGAACTTATTTTCCATAACATCACTAAATATCATTGCCCTCATACAACTCTCTCTCTCTCTCTCTCTCTCTCTCTCTCTCTCTCTCTCTCTCTCTCTCTCTCTCTCTCTCTCTCTCTCTCTCTCTCTCTCTCTCTCTCTCTCTCTCTCTCTCTCTCTCTCTCTCTCCCCCCTTCTTTTTTCTCTCTCTATCAAATACAAATACCTACAAACATATGATATTGATTATCAGCACTCCATTCCTTCCATTTCAAGACCCTTTTATATAATTTTTTTATTTGTCATATCGTTTAAGTGTTTTTCCTGTCTTGAACCAAACTCAGTAGTAATTAAACTAATAGAATTGGAGTCATTATGTCTGCTATGTGATTTCTCCAAATGGTCCTAATTGCTTTGGGATTAATATTTAAATCTCAGTCGGATTTGTTGCCTGGTATCAGCTGTCAACACAAGAACTTTCTTTTGACCTGCAGCTGACTTATGCTTTAGGTCAGAAAACAGAAAGGTTTTAAAGAAACAAAAGATCGTACAGTAATTCATGTCATGATATATCTTTTTTTGTATATGGGTAGGCCTATTTCTAGAAAGCTAACTCTTATAAAACACTTTTTTTCACACTCGTACTAGTTTATTTAATTTGTAAATGCATAAGCCATTATCATTTTCGCCAAATATCCAATTATCTATTTAAAAAAAAAAACATTTGCCTAAATACACCCAGTGAAGTATTATTTTTATTTTTATTTTTATTTATTTTTTGTTGCACAATTGACACATTACTGCTTAATTGAAAACGGTGAAAATTAAAATATTTGATTCCAGTTATTTTTTACATTGATCTTTCTCAGTTTTCTTCAAATATCATATGTGTCTATATTTTATCTCAAACATGCTGTTGACAGACATGACTGTTGTCCTGTTGGTTGTACTGTATCCTTCATTAGACACAGGAACTGTCCGAGAAGCAGTCTTTTTCACGCAATTAGTATTTAAATGATTTTTGATTATTTCCCTCTGTGAAATCTTTAACAATTTTTAAGTAAATATAAGAAGGTTTGGTTACAGTTTATATTGATGGTTCCCTTTAGACATTCTGTTGACTTTAAGTAACATTGCACATGTCAACTAACTCTCATTTATAATTTAGTATTATTTTCGTAGAGTAAAGTGACATGTACTTGCAAAGTTACTTAAGCAGACAGCCTACTAATACTCTACTGATACTCTAATGTGAGTTAGTTGACATGTAGGTGCAGCTTTACTTAAAGCTGCTGTCCGTAACTTTTTTAAGTTAAAAATAATCCAAATTAATTATTTTAAAAAAAAACATCTTCAGCAAGTGTTCAAAACTATCTGCTTGCCATAGCTAGATTCAAAACGGTTTGCTTGTAATAATGATTTTAATTCCAGTGGTACTGGTGGGTTTTCGCGGGAAATTCGAGCATGTCTTTGCGTCATTACGTCACATCTGTACACATAAAGAAGGAGTTTCGGCTAGCCGGCTATACTGCGCGTGAGGAGATGTAGAGAGAGGCTTTTCTCGCAGCACTTTACATGATTAAACTTATGGCGGATCCAGAAAGATCCAGACAACAATCATCAGTGTCAACTGGAGATTAACCAGTTATAAAACCCAAAAGACTTCGTACTTCGGATTTAAGGTGGAAAGAGAAAGAAACCGTCTCATGCGAACACAAGGATACACATCGGTGGGGCTTTTGAAAGGTGCGTGAACTCCCGAAGGGGTTCAAAACGGAAGAAGAGACAGCTTTTTCTGCTGAACAAGTAAGTTAAGACATTTCAATAGTTCAATCGTGTAACAGTACGTTTTCTTAATTCACACAGTTATGGAGTTTCCTTTGTTGTGCCTTTCTCGTTTAGCTATTGTGGAGAATATGAATTCTGAACTACACATGTAATCATAAAACACATTAAATAACGTTAGTCACGCAATGCTGATTTTGTTAACACGAACAATTTGAGAACAAAGTAGGCTATAATTTGCACGGTTGCTGTAAATCGCGTTGATTAAATCTAACGATCGCTTGTCATGTCGAATGCTTTTCCCCCCTTAGTTGGTCAGAACAAAAATGGATGTTACTTGTTCAGAAGACATTTTCCGGTGAAAATTCTAATGTTGGTCAAGCTTTCAAAAAGTGAATCTGTGATTCTGTATGACAGTATCCACACAGCGCTGTGACTGACAGCACCACTCGCCTCAAAACACTGTGTTCATCCGCGCTGTTTCATGCCGATTTACAACCCACGTAAAGATGATAATTCCGCGAATCACTGCAGTTACAGATTTCGAACAGAGATGGCGACAAAAAGGGAAAAAGCTACGGACTGCAACTTTAAATTTAACAGAATGTCTAAAGGGGACCATTATAATAAAGTGTTACCTAACTTTTATATTGGTATTTAATATTTCAACGCATGAAAACTCTTTTTTTTTTTTTTTTTTTTACAATTCTTTTCAGATTTTGTCTAAAGGTTCAATAAACTGTTCCATTTGTAAAAAAAAAAAAAGACTATTTCATATGTCGGACATCCATTTCCCACACACTCCCCTCCAATAACTATCAGTAAAAGAAAGGAGCCTACTGTCCACACACACCCACGCTGCCAACAGAAGATGCCATTGTCTTGATTCCGCTAACTTTAAATGGTCAAATTACTTCTTCAAATCATCTGCGGAAGTTTGATAAATAAACAACTGAATTACATGTGCGTGTGGGTCTGTGTGCGGTTGGTTCCTTCTGGCTGAAGTTCACAACCCGTCACCGCATGCTTACATCATTAGAAGGAAGTGGAAGTGTCCAAAAGATTAGGCTTGTCAGTCAGATGCATTATGGGTCGGAACTGATCCCCCTGTGGCTGTATTCTTCATACGAATCCATTTTTGGATAACCATATTTGTATATTGTTATAAGAGAGCTGATGTTTGGATGGAGGAAATTAAGATGAAGGGATAAAGAAGAGATCCACCAGGGGAAGGAAGGTAGCTTTCCATTCGGCCACCCTCAGACCAGACATGCCTGGAACGAGAGCAAGAGGGACGGTAGAAAGAGAGTAAGGAAAAGAGATGGGAGGAGGTGTGAAAGGACAAGAGGAAGGATAAAAAAAGAAGAGAAAAGGGAGTGGAGTAATGGTTGAATGTTGTGTATATTAGTCACTTCACTTGTCACCCAGACCTCGGGTATCTCACTGTGGTTCATATATTGAGATTGTGACCATAAGAAATGACTAAGGCCTCAAAAACGTGCATGATTGAAATATTTGTGGAGTGAATTTGCAGCGACTTGCCTTTGCAATACTGTCTAATGTCTTTCAAACATTTTGATCCCAAGGACCCCCAAATATGACGATGTGGTACTAAAAAAAGCTATATATTTGTGATCCCATTTATGCTCTGTAGAAAAAAATCATAATAATAAGTGCAATATTATAAAGACAGAATGTTGTTTTGTACAATTTTTATTGTAAATTATTGCAAAACATTTACTCTTATATTATTATTGTTATAAAAACCAAAAGAAAAAATAATAATATTCAGTAACATCTTATCTCATGATCATGAAATGGTTTTTAGAAAGTAATATATATATATATATATATATATATGAAATATATGGAATCAAATATGTATTTTAGATAAAGTACAGTGTCAATACTGTATTTTAGATTGGGTCAAGTATAGGGTCAAAAATTTCAACAAACAATATCAAGATCTCATTCACATAAGTCCAGTTCCTGAAAAAGCCATCTTTTCCCAGGTTCATTCCTCATATTCCTGTTAATGTTGTGGTCAACAAAATCCTGCTCAAATCTGCCACCAGATTCCTGGTAACCCTAGATGCAGTTTGCTGAAGACTGCTGTCAGGTATAGTTTAAACAGTGCTGGAGTTTCTGAAAGGTGAATGTTAGTCAGTGGAATTCAACCCCCGCCTCAGCAGGACTAATATTGTGGATGTACCTGCACAGCTGTGGGCCCTGCGGCTGCTTACACTGCCTGTAACCCTGGGGGACCACACTCATGGCTCCTACTCAATATACTTTTATTAATTTTCTCGTCAAAGTCACATTCCTCACATTGCACCATAGTCTGGCCTCCTGTGAGAAGATGTTACTGAATTTGAAGAGAGAGAAAGGGGAACTTGTGTTACTAACCGCTATAAATTCAGACTTGAAGGGATAGTTCACCCTTAAAAATGAATATTCTGTCATCAGTTGAACACAAACAAAGATATTTTGGGTAACCCATTAACTGTTTGGGTTACCCATGTTCTTCAAAATATCTTCTTTTGTGTTCAGCCAGCAGAAGAAAAAAATCATAAACGTTTGGAACAACTTGAGGGTGAGTAAATGATGACATAATTTTTATACTATATAAACTATATATTTTTTGCAACCCCACTTTTGCACTTTAGATAGTTAGTTAGCAATAATTAGGTTCACTGCACAATGCCCTAGTGTATTAGACTCTTTTTAATCATGAGTTAGTATTGACAGATTGTTGGACTGTATGTATCATATGCTCACAGTAAATCCGCGCTGAGTGAGAGGAAAAGTTTACTTTCACTCTTTGCTTCTTGGCTGCACGAGTAGGGCTTGTCAAGATGCCATCAAGAGCCTGTCAGAGCTTGTCTGCCAAACCGATCATATGACTCTACAGGAAGTCCCAGGGAACTCTACAGAGGTTAAATTATTATTTGTATGGAACAACTTTGTCTGTTTTTTTGCCAATATGATCTCATTAGTATTCATTGGCATTTGTATGCCAAGTATACAATGTTTTATTTAAAAAAAAAAAAGTAATGTTTGGACAGACACTGAAATGTACAATATCAATGTATTGTCATCTAAAACTTAATTTTTCAGTCAAAACACAATTTTTCAGTTATTATTATTAAACATTATAATGCTAAATTAGGTATGTGAAATGTTTACGGAGTAAATGTGATAACCAAATTGAAATATCATATATTTTAAATGCAATAAAAAATTCTTGTAAGTTGTTCATGCATTAAAAAAAATTATACTGTACATTTCAGTATCTATCCAAATACGTTAAACCACACAACCTCACAAGCAAATACACATACTATTTTACTGTATATCTACTTTCACCCCAATTCTGGTTTTATCCTTTACCACAAAGTGTTTCAACATACCGTCTGTGTAACTTTCCCATAGATTTGAAGTGTTACTACATAAGTTCCCCTCTATGGCCTTACTCAGACCAGAATGGGTCAAATTTGCTGAGCTCACTACAAGTGCTTTTATATCCCTCCCACCACCCGTGAAATATTAGGGGTTGTCATGTTTTTGCTGGCCCCTTATCAAAGTTAGCTGTAGGCCTGGCAAGACAGATTTTCTGGAGACAGAAGTTTCCAGAAGCTTCAAGAGGTTCTTCTGTCCCCTCTGGCGCTATCCATCCCAATGAGCCAAACTAATGATTTACCACCTAGTGGCAACCACTAAATATCATAAAAAATTCCTAACCGGCAACTTAGAGGTTTGTTGCACATTGTATGTACGTATATAGTTACAAATCGCAGCCGTATTACTTTTTTCCAACATTATTCCCTTTGGGTAATTTGAGTAAGTTAGCTATGTTGTATGTTTTCAATATCTTTTCTGTCTTGTCCTTTTAGATCACTTCCTAAGGCTGGATGCTCCAATGAATAACATCACTACTTCCCTCGGACAGACAGCTGAGTTACATTGCCACGTTTTAGGGAATCCACCACCCACAGTCCGCTGGCTCAAAAACGATGCTCCTGTGGTCCAGGAACCGCGCCGTGTCTCTTACAGGCCCACTCCGTACGGCTCGCGCTTAAGAATCCGAAACCTGGACACCACGGACACCGGCTACTTTCAGTGTGTGGCTACCAACACCTATGGCACAGTATCTACCACAGGAATCCTGTTTGTCAAGTTTGGTGAGTGTTTTTGGAATTTAACGATATAGTGATGGTTTCAAAAATCAGGTGACTGATGATGTACTGCAGAAAAACTTCAAGTTTGTGAATTTAAACGCATCCCATGTCAGAGGGACATCTTCGATAGCGCTGGAGATATTAGGGGTTTCTCAGTGTTATGTTTTTTTTTTTTAAGTTTCAACTTTTACAATTTAAATGTAAACAAATGCCGCAAACGCCAAATTTGTGTTAACCCTGTTCCTGGCATTTCACATAAAATGCAAATTGTTGCCATTTACTCACTCTCATGTCATTCCAAACCTGTGTGACTCTGTCATCTGTGAAACATAAAAGAACAACACGATCTCACAGGAAAACGTAACTATTTTATGAGGTGGCAAATTCATACGAATCATACGAAAACATGATTTTTTTTTAATAAAAGGTCCACCTCTAACACAAACCCTGAACATAACTGTCTCTGGGGCGTAAGCAGATCAAATGAAAATAGACATATAACACAAATTTATATAAATTAGCCGACAATTCGCCAAAACATAAAACAGTTACGAATTGCCATGAGATTGTGTTGAAAAGAATGCATTTTATAGAATTTTCTCAGTCCCTGGATCCGAGAATGCCTATTTAGTGGGCGTAAAACTGTAGTAGGCAGTAGAAAAGCAGTATGCGAAAAGTAATTGGATGACCATTCAAACTATATAGAACATACATTTTAAACGGTTGCGAAATTCATTCCTCATTAAATGTAGTACCTACTCAGACAGTATGTAATGTCAAACACGCTTTGTGTTTTTGTTGTTGTACCCCATTAACTTTCATTGTCTGAACAAATAGTTGATATTACTGTTTTTCTCAAGATAAAAATCGAATAAGCCATATAATTCAGCAAAAATTAAGTAATGTCATTGCTGTCTAGAAGAAACAATTGAGATTTTCAGGTAGTCCACACATACATGTATAATTTTGGACCTGTTGCAAAGTAGTGGTCCTTTTATTTGGAATGAAGACCCTTGTACATGTCCTGAAAGCACTGTGCTATAAATGTGTTTTAATGCATCTTCATAAGTGTAGCAATTTACCGTCCTCAGACTTTTACAGTAAAAATCTTGAGAAACTGTGTTGGTCTGATGAGATCACTGTAGTTATTCTCTAGTCCATAATGCCAAAGAGCCATATTGGCCACATGTGTTATGCTTCTTTGTGGGCGATTTGTTCCTAGCATGTTGTTAAAAATCCCCACTCTCTCTTTCTTCCAGATCCTGCTCCCACCCCTCTGCCTGGAAGGCCTTCACCGTAAGTCCATTTTCCTTTCCTCGGAGCTGTACCCCATCTAAAACCCTCCATTATCAGTCATTAATACAAGAACAAAAGGGGGGACTTTGGATAGGCAAATTATTCAATTGCTCCTTCAAGAGCTGTCTGGGTAAAGCATTTCCATTTTAAGTGTGAGCGAGTGGATGATATATAGACCTGCACAGAAAGAAATGCTTGTCTGTAAGCTTTTATATGTTCACTTCACTTACTGTGATTTAACGTTTCTAACCTATATATATAAATATATTTATATATTTATTTATTACATTCTGTAATTAATTCATCAAATTTTCATTGCAATTTATTTTGCCACTGTTGTCTCAAATGAGTTTTTATTGGAATTGAGATTGACAAAGTACAATGAAAGCTACACTGCCATTCTAATAGTTCATTGCAGATGTGTATCAAGAACTACTCTGAGGTATGGTAATTAAAGAGTGTTCTGTACATTTCTGATTTATAGTTTTACAGTAAGAGAGAGAGGTCCGGAGACTTCAGCAAGACAATTCTAGGTTAGCAAAGACAAATGAAGATATTGTCCATGTTGCTTACACGTGTCTTGTTTAAGGTTGTAGGAACTGTAGGGTTTGTATGTCCAACTTCATTAAAATCAGCCAGCACCTGTTTGTGCTAAAATGTACAACCAGGCTCACCACATGTTTCTGTTTCAGCCCACTCAGATTTCAGACAGTGCATTAATACACTGCCTTTGTGTTTCTCTTTTAATCATACCATTTTTCCATGCTGCAGGCTTCAACACCTACTGTAGCCATTTAGCATTGGAGCATAGATTTTTTTTTTTTTGTGTAGATTTATGATAGCATATGGTTTTTTAGATCCCTGTAATACTTTCAATTTAGAGCTATGGAAATTTAGTGAGTTGTTTTTGCCCTCACTAGCATCTTCTCATATTATAAGTAAACAGTCGCGTGGTTTTTATTTACAATACAGATGCGAATCTCAAAGTACGTCATTGTGCTTCCTGCATTGTGGTGCACTGTGGATAGTCTCCGTCCAAATCAAAGTATGAACCCCTGACCGTTTGACGTGGCTGGCCGCGCTCCAAATCACATTAATATTGATTAAAGTCCACAAACCCGCCTGTGTGCCTCTAAGCCTCGTACAGGCGGCAGCACGGCTAGTTTTGGCCTTGCTGCCGTCATTGCGCTGCCTGCATTGAGGTGCACAGAGATCCCTTTGAGCCATATGTTGGCCTGTTGCTAATCATTAGTGTCATCATCAAAGAAAGTCATCCTGTCAGCTTCCATCAAGAAGAAAAGGGTCAGTACGCTGTCTGTCTTCTTTGCTCTCTTTCTCCTTTATGCGCCTCCTTTTTTTTCCCCGAAGGATTATCAAAGTGTCCGTCTCGTCTTGGTGAGAGTACCTGGTCAAGAGGGTGTGGGGTGAAAGTGTCCCTGGTGACATGTTGTGGCTGGGACTCTAATGAAAGTCTTCCTTTAATGAACTCCAGAGCAGAGGTGCGTTTGGAGGTCTGGTGTCAATGCATAGACTGAAAGCTGAACTAGCCACAGCTGGTCTTGAGCTAGCCTTGTAGTGGGGAAGAGAGGAAATATGAGAGAAAGTGGGGAGGGGTATTGATGTCTGAAGGGCAAAAGGTCATTGAATAGACAGGGGGAAAGGGATTCACATTCAATACAAATTTATTTGTATAGCGCTTTTCACAATATTGTTTCAAAGCAGCTTTACAGAAAATGCATGGTTCTATATTACAATTTAAAGGAATCTGTTATCAGATGTGACTGTTCAAGTAATGTCCATATGTCATAAATGTACAGTTCTAAGATAATTCAAATCATGTAGTTAGCTAACATCATTTATTCATTTAAGCAAATCAAAAAGCTCATTGTGACAAATTCTGCTCAATGAGTCCATTCTGACAAACAAGCAAGTTATTCATTTTAATATTTTGAAAACTAGTGGTTTAGTGGTGAGAAAACCTGTTGTAATTTTTTCTTTGAAAAATCTGTTAGAAATGTCTCATTTTCATTGTGTGAAATTATTCTAATGTCCTAATGTCATTCCAAACTTCTATCACTTTCTTCTATGAAACACAAAAGAAGATATTTTAAAAAAAAAAAGTGCTTTATTGTCCATCCAATGAAAATCAAAGGTGTCTTGTGTTATTTTCGGCCACACTGGCTGTCATTGTAATTGCAGCTTGATATCTAATAATTGTGACTTCATTTTTTTATAATTGTGACTTCCTAAATTACATTGTGACTTTTTCCTTATATTTGCGACAATATCACACAAATGTGACTTCTTATCTCAGAAATGCGATTTTATTTCCTGTAATTGTGTGTTAATACCTTACAGTTGTGATTTTGTTTCTCATAATTGTGGTTTCATGCCTCACAAATTTGACTTTATTTTCTGTAATTGCAACTTAATTTTTTTTTCGTAATTGTGACTATATCTTACAATTGTGTCTTTATTTATGCAACTTAATATCTCACAATTGTGACTTTATTTCTCATAATTGCGACTTCATATCTCTGAAACATGACTTTATTTCTTCTAAATGCAACTTAACATCTTACAATTAGTACTTAGTTGTTGGACCACATTGACTTTCATTGAATGGACAAAAACGGTTGAATTTTTTTTATAAAATGAATAAATATTTTTTTCAAAATATCATATTTTATGTTCCACAGAGGAAAGAAAGTCATACAGGTCTTAAACCACATAAGGGTGAGTAAATGATGACAGATTTTCATCATGGCTGAACTAACCCTTTAAGAGTTTGACCATAATGGAGTCCCATGAGCCCTTTATGGCAGAGGAGGTTGTTGGGTGGTTGTTTGTTTGATGAGGGCGGATTTGGCTTTGATTCAGTTATGTGAGGTTAACTCAGCTTTATCTTTTGCAAACGGAAGGGCTTGAATAAGGTAAGCTGGTCTTGAAACAGCAGGTAGGGGCAGCGTCTACATACAGTCCTCTGTTGTGTCTTGCACGTCTCAGATGCTCACCACAGCTGCTGTGATTACTCACACTGAAGACCTTATTCATAGACTTTTTAATAAATGCAATATGTTTTCTTCCCCCTTTTCACTGCCCCACACTTTTAACGTTGCCTTTTTTATGGGGACCACCTGGAAAGGAGGTAATCGAACACCATGGATGTGGAATGGGCCTGAACCTTGAGAAACAATGGCCACTGTTGTTCTGGCCCAAATGTCAGCCATCCTGAAGCAGAGAGGTCACAGCATCACACTGATGCTGGGGTGATGTTGTGAAACACAGTAGGAAGAATTTAATAGGCTAGAACAAACTTTTAAGGGAGATAAATAACTCATCAACCAACATTTCCTGTGCTTCCTTGAACATTATTTTAAGTAATTTGATCGATCATTGGATCGTTTATTGGCTTCAGTGGAGCACGGCTACTATAGCAAGTGAAGCCAGAGGATGTTTAGCCAGTGTGTGACAATGGCTGATGCATTACATAGTTCAAGCCAAAATTTAGACCTTCAAAAATTATATAGGTTATGTCATATAACACGTCAAAGTGAATGGGGAATTGTGATTCTACGCGCTACAGTGGATGCTTCAATACCATACAGAATCATGATGCACCCATTCAGAAAGACAAATATTCCAGTTTATAATGTTTACTGTGATATGTCCAATGTAAAAAAAAAAAATCAATTTTTTTTTTTATATATATAGGCGAGATGCATTAGCTCTAGACAAGGTTTGCCTACTCAATTGCTTACTCATGACACATAGCAATACAGCTAAACATATTCCTAATATGTTGGACCTTTTTATTAAAAGTAGTACTGTTACCGGTTGAGACATGCCTTCACAAGCACTGTGTTTGATGTGTTTGAGTTGAGGAAGCACAATGTGTAAAGGAGTCATTTGCAAGGTTGTTAGAAAATATGCTTTTTTGGGGGGTAATTCCGCTAGGTGCCACTAGTGTCACAGAAACTACATACTTCACCTTTAACTGGTATAGATAGCGCTTACAATGACAAGGTCATAATCGATTCTTAAGAAATGCATGTAATGAATCAAATGTGCATTTTGAATGTGCTGTACTTTTTTCAATTACAGGCCTTGAAAATGACAACCCCCCCTACAGTTTGTACCATTTCTGATTCTTGTTTTTAGTTAAATGTCGATCTGCCGTCACTAGCCTCTCTGAGAATGTGCTGCTTTCAGTTAAAGTGGTGCACATTAATCGTGCTGGAAGAGCTGCTAAGGTTATCCTTATCAAAATATCATTACTGTACTGTAAACATGAGTTCTGTACTGTGTTTTTACCATAAGGAGACAGCTTAATGTACACAATGCAGTTGTGCTGCTGGTTTCCCATGAAATGTCAATGGAATTATTTAATAGTAGGCATTTGAACCATACGTTTCTTTAAGGTTGTTTTATAACATCCCCTTTTTTTCCTGTTTGAAAATATTAATATTTCCATCAAGGCCTTGTCATGTCTGTTTAACTTTCTCCTGGCTGTCCAAAAGGGAAAGTTTTTTTTAAAACGAGAGATGCTCTGCTTTTTTACAATTTCTGTTTTAACAGTGGATCAAACTGATCTTAAAAAAGTCCAGACCATTATTCGCTCAAGGCTGGGCTGTTGGAGACATCCCAGAAGCCTCAGCATTGTGTGAAGGAGCACATCCTAATGGGGGCCTCGTCCTTCTTTTGAGAAACGACTACCATAATACTTCTGAAAGCTATTCAAGTGCTTCAGTTTTAGAAAGCTCTCCATTTCAGCAAAGATTTAACAAAGGGCTCTCATAAATTTGAGAGTCTTTGATTAATGTTAAAGTTCTGCTGTTCAGTTTTGATGTGATATATTTGATTCTTTTGAAGATGTATTTGGTCTTTTCAGAAACATGTCACTGTGGTGTGTTGTTATGGACATTAATTTAATTGTAAAGTTATGAAAGTAACAAGCAGCTATTTGTACAGCGTTCTGAGTTGGCACATTGAGTTACGGA